TCCTCTCGAGTAATAAATATTTTGGTTTACATAAAGTAACGTGGCTAAGTGAAAAACGTTTGCCTATTTTTAGGTTCTTTAATAGGAGATGCAAAAATACTGTAAAAGTATATCTCAGTTCTATTTTAAGATCATCATATTCTAACAAAATTGTCTACGGTCCTTTTGAAAAAACGTAGTTGATTGTATATCTGAATTGAAATGCCGCATAAAGATATCTGCCAATTCAACAATACAACTTTAAACTTCTTTTTGTTATAGCTTCCATTTCATTTAGAACAGAGCCTTAATTTATTTACTGATGTGAAAAGAACAAATTCCGTTGTAAGATAAACTTTAATAATAGACAAAAACATGCCATCAAGTTCTCCAGCTTAAAAATAATACATTTGATTTCATCATGTTTCCCGGAACAAAAGAACTTTATGCAATGTTTGATTTCAACATAAGCCCAAGCTTTTGTCTTTTGAAATTAGCTCCGATTGAACTTTTACATTTCACACCTTTAATTCCCCAGTAGTAACAAACTAATAATTTCGACTCACGTACTACAATCAAAGCTGTTCTATTAACCTCAGAAAGTATAAAAATTTTAAACTACCTTCAGTGATGGGACAAGAAGCTGGTCTCACAGGTTCAGCCAGTGGAGTTGAGGGCAAAATGGAGTTAACCGCTCTCTGCGTGAATGAAGGATACGGAAACTCGCGTTCTCCGCTTCCACGCGGGTATCGCGCACATGATATCGATTCGTACGGCTCAATTCTCGTTTGATGGCGTAAAAGCGCAACTCTCGCCGCCGTGATTCTCTGACGCTCCGCTATCAGTAGGCACTTTGGGCAGACACAATCCCGCCATTTGCAGTAATGTTTATGGCCTTTTAGAGAGGACACTACCCCGTGATTGCGACAGCGAGCGCATTTTGGAGCGCGTAGCGTATTATTGCCCGATGAACTTTCAGATGTGGCAGCGCTCATGGTGATAAAAATCTGCGTCAAATCTCAGATGATTACAATGTTTCTTCTGAAGTAAACGGTTTCACAGAACGTGCCGTAACAGTAAAAATGGCGATCAACTAACGAAACTTGGTGTCGGGTTAAAATGATCACTGCTTAAATGTCACCGCCTAATTAACGGGACATGTTTTACCACAATTAAAGACTTCTCATTGGCCTACTCGTGATCAATTATTCAAGACTATTGTTAATGCGCTGAGACTGATATGCTATCCTTAAAAAACTGTACAAAGTATAAATAAAAAAAGTTCCATTATGTAGCTTTTAACGGGACAAAAGCCGCTAAGATGTTAAGAGTGCTTCTTTAAATACCCTAACCGCTGGAGTTTCGAATCTATCGATTGAAAGCGACTTGGATTTTTTCAGCGCACAGATTTATTTTTATTAATGTTCAGTGGTATGGAAGTAACATAATTTATGTATGACTATTGTTTCAATTCTCTGCCCTGTTCGCATCGTGCGGGTTGTAAGAAGCAATTTGTTCTTTTGTAAGGAAGTGGTAAAACCGGTCGAAAACTATAGAAATTGTTCTTTCGTGCCAGGTTTATTCTTTCAAACTTCTCGAAAAATCACCCAAGCATTCCGTCATGTACCGGCTGGCACAAAGAAGCTGTCAACCAAAGCAACAACTTGTTTCCACCTCGAAGAAATTGTCTTCAATTAACGCGAATTCTGAGACTAGCGCTTGGGCAAAATTTTTTTCTGACTAATATATGATCTGGTCACCCCAACAGGGCCGCGAGATATTTCCTCAGTCTAGTTAAAGACAAAACTGGTTATAGTTAAGAGACAAACGTACATCATTAATAAATTATATATAATATTGGAATGGTGTTTACATTTTCGAGAGCAAATGATCGCCTTTTCTAGTGCCTTTGGCTCGTCTCTACTTGTTACATGTAGCAGAAAAAAAGATTTCTGCCAATTCTTTTGTTTACTCAAGAACTTTCTTAACACAGGTTTCTTTGTTGATACACTTAAATGTACCGTTTCTAACAACGAATTTCACGCTGAAGGAGACTTTACAACCACTAAAAAAGATTGAACCATGAAACCATGTTGCTCGGCTATACTGGGAAGACGAATTGATTCACTCCCGGCACAGTAGGCGTGAGCTATTCTTGGCACTTTTAACATTACTTTGTCCTGAAAATAATATAAATTACTTCAGTGTTTTGACAATGCAAACTAAGTAAGAAGCGCCACATCATGGACTGATTACAGCGATAACTTGGGTTGAATCAAGGGAGAATTATAATACGACATCAGTAAAATCTCTTTCTTGAATCTATTCAGTGTCAGTGTTCTCGAAGTCTCGCTGATCACCAGCGCCTATGTCTACGCCAAACATACGCTTTTCTTCTTCTGAATAGTCTCAAAGAGGTTTCATTCAGTACAGTATGTATATATTTTTGTTGTTCTAAATTAAGAAATTAGAAAATCTAAGACCACCTAGCGTGAATGACTAAACAAGAACTAACACTTTGTCCCTCGCTATGGGAAGCCAGCGATCTACCAGCTCTTTCCAGTGTTTCAATTAATATTTTAAAATGTAGCAACTCAAAAAGAGGAAATTTGTAAATCAAAACAAATCGTTATATAAAAAACGAATACTCGATCCATAGCATTTATGAATATCGCATTCCAGAATCTTGGGAAGATGGTCAAATTTTAGAAATAATTGCACATTTTTAATTACTTTTTGATACTGTTTGTGGTTCTATTGTCCGACTGCTAAAATGTCATTTTTCCCGTAAAATTTCTTTCTAACAATATACATTATGTTGACCATTAAAATCTATATTTACCAATAAATCCGACTGTGATGTTTCTTTTTGAAAACTTTTTCTTCATAGTTTCATTTTTCCAAGGACGTAATTCCAACCCGGAAGTTTTCCAAGCAACCTAGTATAAGGTGAGTCACTCCTCGGGGCGATCGAAACAAAGCGCAAAACAGCACAAAAATATTTGAAAAATACTCGAAAGAAATGCAACAAACAAGGTAAAGCTAAAGCGCTTTCGTTTTCGATCTGGCAAGGTTATCGGGTGGATTTCTTTCTGTACCGCGAAAAAAACACTACATGTACATTTTGTCCGGCATGGACAGAGTTTCTTAGAAACACCAACACAGCAACGTAATACAAGCGAACTCTCTTTGGCTTCTTCTTTATCTGTTTTCAAAGGATAAAACTTCCTTGAAGAGCATGAAGAAAACGCATCATAATAGTCGTAACATGGTAGGATCTGCTAGCACTGTTGAACTTAAATGAGAAGTGGCGGCGTTCTTCTGAATTGTCAGCTTCGAGGCTAGAGGCTCGATGAAATTTCCACGAACGAAAAAGCCCAAGCGAAAGCTTCATTTGTCCAAGTTACTCTTCGGTATTTTCAGAGAGCGAACAATTTGTATTTTTAAATCTAAATCCTAGCAAGTAGGTGTCTATCTGTTACTATCTTGTTCTTAAAGAGAACTTATAAGTGGAAGAATAAACAAACGTTTTATTGATGTAAAACAACCCTGAAATATTCTTACAAAACTGTTTACCAACCGGTGCTCTACAGGTGGCTGTAATCATAGTTTACTGGCTATTTGTTTCCAATTAGGATACCAGAGTTAAGCGTCACAACTGATCTTCAAGATTGAAAGTTTTGTTTCAATTGACGGGTTTTTTCCGCTAAGTGGGCGCGACGAATTTCAGTCGCAACTCTTTCCGATCCGAATTTTGAAGAACAGGACTCTTTCTCAATTTTGTACATTTCAACTTCAGAGCGTGCAGCTACGCATGTTGAATTCTTTTTAAATCAGAATAAAATTTTCAAAGGTTGTAACGTTAAGTCGGCGTTTCAAATGCGTTTTGATTTTTGTCCAACAGGACGTGGTTACGGAAGTTTGCCGTCATAATATTTTTCAATTCCAGTTGAGCACAGCAGATAAAAATTGAGAGCTTTCGCTTTTAAAATTTCCAATTTTTGCTTTTATTTCCAAGCTTTTAAGGTAACCGATACAGCTGTACCGGAAAAAGGAAGGGCGGAGTTATGTAAAGCGATTCTTTGATTTTAACACCAGAAGTGAACAGTTACATAATTTATGAAAGTTTTAACAATCTGCTCTTCAATCTAACGCCTCCTTTTGAAGCCAACTCGCTACACCTGTCCGTTAAATTCACGTTTATGCTCCTTATTGTCCAAAACAACATGGCTCCAGCTGGACGTGCTTTGTGCGGTTTTTATTGTTTTATTTTACCCGGAAAAAAGAACGTGAATTTTCTTTTTTTGGTATACTTCAGCAGTCTCGTTTCTAGAACCGAAGCTGTTATACATTTCGTGCATCATGCAGTATCCGTGCTGCCGCGGTCAAGCAGAGGAAGATTGGGGAGCTAAACAAATATTTTCATCAAAGCCGGCTAATGGTATCTGGAAATCAAGTATTAAATGGTTATACAACACCCGAGAGAAATAAGTAACGTTCTAGATAGAATGGATGGCGCCAACGGTTACGGTGAAAAACTATTGCCAGTTCCACACTTCCAGGATGTATATTAATATCTTGTTTCCTAGCTAACTTCCTTGTAACAAAATATATTTTGAATCTCGATAAAACAGAAATTCTCTGGGTCAGTGGAACATGAGAAATTGTTGACTTTTTAACAAAAAAGATTCTTTAAAGTGGAGTTAAAAGTCGTTTTATCTCGTAAAGTGCTCTTCAGTAGCTTTATACATTCTCTGTGAAAAATTAAAATATTCTTGTGTGTTCAGATCGTATTTCCGCTTAATAAAAAAAATAATGCTATAGTTTTTACCTAGATCATTACTTTAAGTACTCGTGTGCGCCTTAAGTTCCCAACGGGATTCGAACCTACAGCCTCCCAGTCTTCATAAGTGATCAGTCTGCGATAACGCGTTTAGTAATGAAGTAATGGGCAAGTAATGATAACAATTATACGAAATCATTGCCAGAGATTAACATTTAAGGGCAAAGTTACTACAATGATAATTTCTTAACGATTTATTTTTAGGCTTTATTTACAACAGTAAACTAAGATGAAAATACCACAAAAAAAAGTCTCGTGGTTTCTAAAACGCTGAAAGTTTCCATGTTCGCCTATTCGTAGAAAATGTTACCTAGATTCCATGCTCTCAAATGACTCCTGAAAGCTCAGTGCGATCAACTTGTTTTCACACACTTGGCAGTGGTTGTCTTTTCTATGAATCTGCTTGGTTTATTGGATTATCTAGGTTTGTTATCGATAAAATGTCATTCATTAGATTGGTTTACGTCTAACGGCAATCTTAAGACACAACAACGTTGGTAAAACGCATACCAACAAGAACGAACCATCACAGTTTTCTTGTCCGTTAGAATATCTCTTCGGGGCGGTCATTTTTTGTTGGTATTTATACACGAAATGGGGGAAGAATCATTTGACAAGTCTCTCCTTGATGTGAATCCGCTTAATTACAGGCCATTCCCAGTACCCAGTACAAAAAGGTCGAAGTTAAAGACATCAGAGCGCCATTTTTCGTCCCTCGATACTGATACCAACCGCTCTTTGTGATCCTTGGTTGAGGAGCTTTTTCTTTTCATCGAACTTTCTCTTCTGTTTTTCATATCTGTTCATGGACTTCTGTGGTTTCTGGAATAAGCAACGGAAAAATAAAATCAAGAAAGGAAGGATCTGAGAATTGACGATGTGTTGCTAAGGGGGAGAGGCTGGGATTAACAGAGTGATCGCACAGTACGATTTTTTGTTACAGCCAGAGAGAAGAGAGAAGAAGTCGCACTGTTTCAAACATAATCGATTTTATTCAATTTCATTTAACTTGTCAAATGTTGACGAAATTTCTGGGGTTGAATCCGAAAGGACGGTGTCTAAATTTGCAAAAAGGAAAATAAATTTTTTACGTTGTATTCACCTGCTCCATAAAGCGGGCGCGTTAAATTAGGAAGTTTCATGTCGCAGTCGTGCAACGACGGCTAAGAAATGTGCAAAAAAGCGTGATACACGTGCAAAGTTGATGTTTTGCTTATCTAAACCTATTACTTTTTTGCCATTTTCGTTGCCGTCGCCATCGTCGTTGCTTAAGCTCCCTATATATTGTTGTCATCCAGAAATTTTGCTACCATGGTAACGTGACGTCACACTTCTCCTCTCTATTGGCCATATGTTGTTTCGAATTGCACTTCGGGATTATTTTTGATTGAAAAATTTTAACCTTGTTTCCTACGCAACTTTACACTAGCCAATAAGAGACAATAGCGTTTCTAAAACAATCCCATAATGCACTTCGACATAAAACCGTCCCAGTCCCACGCACAACCTCAAAATGGTCAATAGGGAGCTTAAGCAAAGACGTTTTTGGATGACGCAAGTTAACCGGAAGTGAAGACTCTTTCCTGTTCATATACCTTGACGCCACCATATTTGTCTTGTTAAGTGTCTTTACTCGAGACGAATTGCCTGAAAATGTGAGCACATCGCTGCCCAAGAATACAAATCCACTTCCGGTTGACGTGCGTCGCTCATGAACGTTCTTGCTCAAGCTCTCTAATATTGCCCCCCGACTTCGTACGCCTTCTTGACTTCGCTCAACCTTCCATCAGAGAGCCTATTCAGAAATTTTCACGTCCGTCCACGAAGAAAAGGGTAGTAAAAGCACACCTCAAAGCGACACTTACTTTAAGTACGTACACGAAATAGCGCAAGTTGTAACCATCTCCGTGTCACGCAAAACAGCTTTACCCCTTTCGCTAGCTCTCTCTCTTTCAAAAGCACAGAGGTGCGTGTGAAAATGTAGGGCCGGAACCGAAGGCTGAGGCGATAAATTTTTTTAACAAAAAAAGCTTTAGTAATTTTTTTACACGTGATCAGAGTTTTTTTTTTTTTGCCTTTAGACTCAAATGCATGGTTACAGGGTTGAAATAATTGTCATTTCTACTTACTCTGCTGAAGTCCGTCCGTTCAATGTTGTTCTGTGGTCTCACAACGTAATCCTTGTTTGAAGGCATAGGAACGCGGGCTCGCATTACAAAACCCTTGTCACCAGGCCTAACCGCTCTGATAAGAGAGCAAAGCATGTCTGTTAGCAAAGTTCAAAGCTGAAAAATTCGAGAAGCAAATTATAAAGCTGTTGTAAAAATGAAAAGGACTCAACTATACTTACTTTTTATCGCTTTGCAGTGCAGAATCAATGGATTTTGGTGTCTTCCCTCCTTCGCTGTCCACAGAACTAAACAATCAACAAAAGACTTTTAAGGGACCAATGTAACGCCATTTGCTTCTTCGCATCAACTGAATTCCAAAGATGATCGTCCGGTTTTGATATTTAAGGCTATATTTGATCATTGAAACTGTTTCCTGCCGCTGATCTGTTGCTACGCTGGGATGGCAAGGATAGACACGGATTGGAAACTTTTCAAGTTAAAAATGCTGGGCCAGCTATTACAAGATTTACTATTATGACTGCAAACTGAAAATCACCAAAAAAGTATTATGGTTAGTGCTCCCTGGTGAAATTTGTCTGACATCTTCCTAACTCTACAGGTGCATTTTGTGTATTGAGGACAGAATTGACCTGAAAATAACAATATCTTCCCTTTCAAAAAGGAAGAATTTTCATTAATAAAACTATCGTCATCTTGCTAAGCATAATCACGTGACTGTCACCATCACGTGAACAGTACCTCAGGCGCCTTTTCTTGGACATGTTTTGATAATCTCTCTCTTCTCTTTCCTCTCGACTGAGCGACTTGAAGTTGGATGTAACACCAAATATTGGCCTAGCCCATTCATCTGCAACAAAACAATCGCTGTAACATTATTGTTGAAATGTTACCACTACGAAACATAACAGATCTCAGTTCAGCCACTATTACGGAGCATGTTTCTGCTCTCAACAACTAACTGCTGTTCGTAAAACGCAAGGGGTCGGAAACGTAGCAACTCGAGCTTTTGCGTCGCTAACCGTTGCTCGTGTCTCTAAACTACGGTCGGTGCGGTCGTATCAAAAAGTCTTCACCCTCGGTTGATAAGTGATCCCCAGACCTAACGCCCACGTTTTCACCCTCGGTTGACGAAGAATTTGCAATCTGATCGCATTCTAGATCAACGAATTAAAGGGATTGAGGTGAACAATTTATAACTTTAGCTTATAATTGTTTCACTGCTTATGATCTGTTGACTGCCCTGTTCACACAAAATTCGGTACAGGTATACCATACTTACTGATAAGTTTTCCAGCCAATTTCTTGTTCTGTCTGGTCTCTTTTGGGTGTCGACACAAATACATGACTGCTTTTCCAATGCCGCTCATTTTAAGAGCTCTTCCGTCCAGTGAGGGAAACTAAAAACAGAAGATACAAGGAGATTTTTGCATGATTTGGGAATGATAAAGAGAACAAAAATCAAAAATATTTCTAGAAGTGGAATGAATTTTTTTTCTGACACAAAAATGTTCTTGTTTACTATAAATGCACATTTAGAAATGTAAATAAGTGTATTGTGTGAAATAATAGAGAGCTTTAAATTTGAAGATGAGGACTACTACGAGAACAAGATTTTCTTAACGCTATAGGGCCGTTTATAGTGCCGCGCGCCCCGTATAAATGGGCCAGCCGTCGGCTTATTTGGCGAGGGGGGAAAACTTATCCAAGCCGCGTCTTGGACGTGAAAGTGTTCTAAATGCACTCAAATTTTTTGGCGGGAAAACGTCAGTGGCCGTCTTGTTTACATTTATGGCGGACAACAATTTCTACAACGGGTTTTAGCGAGAATGTCGTAGTGGCGGGAACAAGTTATCTTATGTTAGAAGTTTTATCATTATGCAATCGGGAGAGGACTTAACCTCCTTTAGTAGAAATAAACCTACTAACTTTCTCGGCGAAAAAAGTAAAATGAAGCTTTCCGGGTTGTCTCAGTTTTTTTTAAAGATTGTGGTGGGTTTAGAAAGCAACTTGGTAAAGGAAAAGGCGAGGCAAAGCTGATTTGTTAACTCCGAGAAGAAGGGAACAATGTGTTACAACGCTAAACAGCGCACCATCAGCCTCAGGTTTGTTAGTCAGATGACTATTTCGAGCTACCGACGTACAATAAGGACTCTTCACCTTTACCGTTTCTACAAAGTGACATCAGTCTTAAGAAGCAGAATCTTCCATCTGTCATGGCCAACAGACGGGAATGGGACAGACTTATCTAGCCTGCGTAGATGGCGATATTGTGTAGTAGTCGAGTGAGATTTGGCGTCGAAAGCCGCGAGAACGCCCCGTCCCCACTCTATATTCTGGATCACGGCTCTGCCACCAAAACTTAAATCGCGCACCGAGAAAACAACGCCAGCTACGCAGGCTAAGACTTATCAAATCGGTGCGGGTGCGGGTGGGTGCGCCCGAAATGGATAGATAAACAGATCACATGACTGAGACAACAGCAAAAAATAAAAACAAAACCTACCTCGTCCAGAGTTTTAAGCAAACCTTCTCGAATCTGTAGATGAGGTAGAGAACCGTCTGGCAAGGGACTTAGCCAGTCCTAAGTAACACAAAAAATAATGAAAAGGTGACCTTAAATTCAGCTTGCAGTGCATGTATCCATTCCAATTTGGCATTTTTTTCCTTCACAGGACTCTTAAGCTCATGATTGAGTGCCTTTGCCTTTAGCCTTGATTAACTTATCAAAAATGTGTAGATTCAGTGAGATCTCCCTAAAAACCTCGAGACTTTGGAAGTTTGAATTTTATGATTGTTACTAAATTTAGTATAACCAGGGGCACTGCCAGTTTTTCGACTAGTTGTAGGCCTGGCTGACTTTCATTTCCACATATCCTCAAAATTGCATGCATGACTAGAATGCACTGACCTCACAAACACTTTGAGCTCTCAAGCTTTTTAGCTCACACCAACAATGCATAATTTATTACAAGCGGTCAAGTGATAAAACCAAAAATTTGTAGGCCTGGGCCTTCAGGTCTATGGGGTGGCTATGCCCCTGATAACT